GTCTACAACGTAACGCATCATTCACAAGGATGAATTAAGTGCTTGATTTGGCGAATGCCCTCAAAATACCACGTCCGCCCATAGCAGTGGTGTGCGAATTTCCCATTTGCACATGAGTTCAGTTCAAACAACTTAGCGGGAAAGAGTGGAGAGTTACAATAAATGCAGGTTGGGTGTATCATCTGTTATGCTGACAATGAAATTCCCCCCTTTTATTCTGTCCCATTTGTAACCCCCGCCCCACTTTTGTGTTTAGTGTGCATATATGAACTGACGCTTGTTTGTCCTTACCACTTCACCCATTTGACCTTGAGGTCATCCGGGCATTTGTATCTGACTTTACACGTGTGACTGTCGCACGTGGGAGCCTGTTTGCTCCCTTGCTTTGCACTTTTGTAGTCCAAGCGGACTGTTTGTTTTGAACGCGTATCTACTGTCGAGGTTTGTATAAATTGTGAATTTCCCTTACCCTAATAGTACCGTATAGAAACCCAGCTCCGACTTTGTTTTGCCTACCCGGAGGTTCTGGTATTACGCGTCACTCGAAGATACCGTTCGACCGTTACATTGGGAGTTGATCGGGTGGTTGTTGATGTACCTAGCCTCAGAGCTGAATCACTTCAATGGACTGGATGTGAAGAGTTGTCTTTGTAGTACTAAGTTTGATATTTCGATCAAAATCAGTAAATTTCAAAATGGTAAACAGTGTTTAGTTGCTGTGTTGGCGGTTCCTCCGACGAATGGCACCTCTGAGGCTCTGGAAGGTAGCTTTTCTCGAGAATCATCACGTATGCTTGGTCTCCAATGTGTACAGATTTCAGAATTCTGACAGATGATATCGATGCTCTTGTTGGCCGACCAAGTTCTGAAGAAGCCCATCTTGGTGGCTCAATTGGAGCGAACACTAGTGAGACGCGAAAGTTTAGTCCTCAATAAAGCAGATGTTATCAGTACCCACACTTATATTCGTGATGCGCTACTCACAAGGTTGCTGAAAATTCGTTGACAGCCCACGACCGGTTTCACCATTTTTGGGGCTCATCAGGTAGGCACAGTCCCCGAGTTTCCGTCAACCTCATGTTCTACTTGAAACCAGATTGCAAGAAATTAGCGAAATACACTCATTTGCGAAACCGGTCGTGGGCTGTCGACGAATTTTGGCAACCTTATGAGTAGTGCATTACAAGTATACATGTATCGCGATATCTCGAATATCGTAGCGACTGAAACACGAGGCGGCCTGGTGCAGCACATTCAGTTGCCTGGAGACATCACAAACGAGAGATTCAGCTGGGTTCCAGGCGAGTCTCTCACAAAGCCAAATTAGTTTGCAAATGAGTGTATTTCGCTAACTTCGTGCAATTTGGTTTCAAGGCATGGGATGATTTACTAGAGTCTGAGAACAGCCTGCTGCCATTCTCGTCCTGTTTAGGCCTGATGAAATGGACGCAGTCTTTGGGCAGCTGAAAGGACTAGTCTCTAAACTGAATAGTAATCGGCTTGTTCACTCTTTGAGCTAACGTGCAAAATGGAAATGCGGAACACTCACTGTAATTCCTCGCAGCCAGTCGTACATTGATATTCCTCCTTACGATGCTTTTGGTTACAGGGAACTCTAGCGAGTGTCAGGTGTCAGGTGTTAGTAATTTTATCGCTTACATGAGTTCAAAATATGGCAAGAACAACTGCAAGAATGCCACTCAGTTTCTTGCTTGCCTCTTCACCAACCGACTCATCTATTAGTCATAGCACCAAGATGTACTACTTTTTCGGTGTACCAAAATGTTTGAAACTGAAAGATCAAAGTCTCCAGACGCCAAAAAGTTCTTACATTTTTCTAGGATCTGAAGAAGTCTTAAGACTCAGCTTTTTGTCATGCGACACAAAATCGGGTTGTAAATGGAAGAAATGTGGCTATGTGGAACACCCCGACTTCCTATTTCTAAGAATGTTCACTTTGAGCTTTGAACTAATAAGCAATTTAAGTGCATTGTCTAACTTTGGTGCGACCTAACACTTGACACACTCACAGAACTAAAAGATGAAAAATAACTCTCGAGTTTGGGGAACATGAATGACTTGGCCGTCTCAGATAACCCTGAAGCTGATACATATTTTCGTGAACCACAGCTCTGTTCCAACAAGCACCCCGTTAATACCCCGCAAATCCAGATTCCAAGTAAACTTCTGAAAGAATGTGGAAGGCACGTCAATTTCTATGGTGGAGGATTTAAAGACAGAGTGGACTCATATGAAGGTAATCAACACGAGGGTTTCTCTGACCGAAGCCACATCACCAAACCATATTTAATAGCACAAAATGCTTTATTCTATGTTAGAAATCGGAAGTTTTCGCGTCCCTCAGTTCTCATTGCTTTCCGTCAACCAGGGCTCATTATTTTTTCTCGTGTTTTATATCTTCCATCTACCCTATCTAAAAATCGATAATCAGCGGTAAATTAGAATATTTACTGACTTCAGCGGCGCTTATAATTGCGGCTGATACAACGCAGTAAACTTTTATGACTTCAAATACAAGTGTCGGTCGTATGTCTGATGCAGAAGCAACTTATATCTACCGTCAAATTGTAGAGTAGTACAATTAGATTCAAGCAGAATTCTGTCATTTCAGTGCTTCCCCAATGTAACCCAAAGAAGCCTGTTCCAACATACCAGAACATATCAGTAGTTCATATATCAAATACAGTGCCTACCAGTTAGACAGGATACTAGTAAGACCTATCGGAGTTGTTTTCCTCTCGTGCTGGAGTTTTAGCGCAGATATCTCTGGCAAACTTTTGAGCAAATCCTATGCATAAACGGCTATTTGTCAGCTTCTTTCATCCCTATTTGATACGCCACCAACTTACTTCTTCCTCACAACGGTTTGTGAGAACATTTTAAGACAAAAAAGGCAGTATTTGTCCCGGTATCTACAGTTTCATCAACATCTTGCTGGCTGATATTTTTCCATTCTTTCGCAATTCTATGTCCCTAAGGCCTAAGGTCACAAATTTTACCGTTCAAGTCTCCTCAACTTATGCAGCATGGGCCTTCAGTAAACTAGGCTCATGAAATATGTGTGATGTGGAATTCGGTTGGTTTTTCGAGTTTTGCTTCGCCGACCAGAGAGATCAAAGCATGGTATCATTTGAACTGCTCTTGTATGTAGCGCACGTGTACAAAACATGATAGGACTAGGCGGCACACTGTCCTTTTCTCAACGAGGGTTGCTGCAATGATGAAAGTATGTTAATCTCTGAAGGTTACCCATTCACCCGGCTTATCCTAGCGAACGATCTGATGCTTCTAAATTGTCTACACTATTCAAATTCGGCTGATATTTTGACTAGAACAAACAGTGAAATGAACGATTTCAAAGAGTTGCCTTTTGATCGGGATTAATATTGTGTAATGTCCTCTCTCCGTGGGGGATTCACTGTCTGTCCTACACTTCAGCGTGCCATAGAGATTTTGATTTTCGAGTTTTCATTTTGAAACGTCATTAAACACGCACGCAATTAATAGGCAAGCTTGTCTTCGCTGTAACATCACACAATCTGAAGGAGGGGAACAGAATAGGACAATGTGGTGATTCAAAAATATATGTTGAAACTGTCAGTAGAGATATCAAATTTAGTGTGGTGATAGTTACACGTTTGCATAATTGTGGCCCCTCAGATAACGAGGAACAAACAGAAACGAGAGACGGACGCGGGAAGAAAAAGATGGTCAAACCAAGACGGACTAATAAATGATTCCAAATTCTCGGACGCTGGCACTAGAGAACATGCGGACACATTCGTTAAAGATTGAAATTAGTTTCATGGGTTCAGCAATTTAGTTGATCGACGACAGAGCCAGTGATGGCACAATTCCCGAGCCATAGCAGCCCAGATTACGTCGATATCAAATTTATTAGAAATATCAGCTTCCGCGATTTTGACTGGCCGCTCGAGTTGAGCACTGTCAGGGCACTGACAGCACACCTATCTTCTATGTACGCAATTTTTCAGACATAGGCTGGAAGCAGCTTTGGTAAAGCAGTCATCTGGGTGGAGCAACTTTTGACTGAAGCAATCTACATGGCAGGTAGTTAAGTCTACCTTTGTATTCAGACTAGCTTCTTTCTTATGTCATAGTGGACACTCGGATCTGAAAACTCCTTCCGGTCCCAATCTAAGCGAATTGAGACTTCGCCTCTGGCTGACAACTCAAATGAGCACGCAACCTAGTGATCCACCTTAAACGCTCATTAGAGCTGAGTGTGTGGTTTCCCGAATCCATCGGATTCAATTACATTCTGGGTCGGAAACTGTCCTTTGTTAGTGGAACGAATACATATCTTATTTCGCTTCCAAGTTTGCGGTTTTCCGCGAGCAATGTCCTAATTCCCAGCGCAGCGTGGGGGATACTTTGATATGTCCTGCTTGGTAGTTGTGCTTACAGTGAGGCTTACCTTCGTGAATTTGGACGACAGTAACCCAAACTGCCCAGATAATGATGATCCGTAAGTCAATTCGTGTATAAGCAGGCGTTCAATTTAATCGTTGCGACTAGGACGCAATCCGTCATCATAGGTTTGCTGAGCATATTCCCTTAGATGACGTTTTGAGAGTTGGCTTGATGGCCATTTCTGAGTGTGTGGCCTATCCTCACCGTTCGCAGTCCTCATCTATTTCAGCGGCATAGCGAAGACCTTCAGTTATCGTTCCAAAAATTCCATTTCATTTTTATGGTACGCTACAAAATATCCAATCAGCTATCCTCTCAAGAACGTACAAAATTTACCGAAACTCGGAATGGTCTCTCATGGAGGCACACTCCTTTTGACACATCCATCAAGCTGTAAGACTCCCGTCAGGAACCAACCCTGAAAAATGAGTTGTGAATAACGAGGGAAAACAGCGGGGATCTTGTTCGCGTTTACCGATGGAAACTCTTTATTCTGTCGGTCAAAAACTAAAAATCATATAAATTGAACACACGTACAGGCCGGACAACGCAAAACACTCGTGAATTCGGAAATGACAACCTATCAGCCGAAAACGCGTGTTTTAGCTACTTCACTGACAGTGCTTTTCCCATTTCACCCAGGTAGCACCTCACCTGAAAGTGGACATTTAATGTGCGACATTTAATGGCACTCATGGGCCTATTGCGTATATAGTCAGGAAATTATCGGTCTTCAGCTAAATTCTTGAAAAAGCAATTCTAATTCAACGACAACTACTAGCAAGATGTTCCAAATACTGGATATTTCTAGGAGTTTGCCAGATAATTTTATTGACGTTCGCATGGTAGCATCATGATTAAATGGCACACTTGTCTGATGTAACTCGGTGTTAAAAACATAGTGAAACCATTTCGTCCGCCTTTCTAATGACAAGTTGCTCTACTGTTTACAGCCGTATTACTCACTGAACCAGGCGTTGCTCCAGACAAAAACACCACTGTGCGAACGATGAGAACACCAGTGCGGACGACACCAGCAAAAATAGAACCGCCAGCTCCTGAAAGTAAGTAACCGTCTCGATTTTGATATGATCAGATCTCAAGTTTTCATTCTGCCCAGCTGTATTTTTTCTACTTCCTCTTTTTTGGTCGTTTTTTCGTAATGATTAGAGTAAATGACTGCACCGTCGGAAAAGTACCCCATAACAACTTACATGGAGAGAAGTTCAACATCAAAAACTCAGTGTATTTGGCAATCTATGAAAGTGAGGACTCCAGATTTGTCTGACCTTGAAGTACACACCACGATATCGGGACACTCTCATCGGCTAATCGCTCTAAAACAAAAATAAAACATGATATCATGGTCTGTGATAAGACGGAAACGCATGTTTACTGCGGGTTCATTACAAACGACGAGATGTACATCTCCAAAAATCTAGGGAACCGCACTGCTAAAAGTTTTGGACAGCTATATGGTGGTTGAGTATTGTAATAAGGAATGAAGAGTGGTTTCAATTTGGGTTTTGCGGGATATGTGTTTTTGTTCATATTCACACCTCTCTTGTTTGAACGGTCGTCCCCTTGTTCTGGTGAGTTCACACCAAAGGGACTCGAGTTTCGCTCTTATTAGAGCACATTAGTAATGCATATCCAATGGCCGAGCCGGGATTCGAACCCCGGACATCTGACATGCGAGGCGGGTGTGTTAACACTACTCCAACAATGCACGATGGACGCATCTTAACTTTCACGTTTGAACAGGAGAACGCTTGAGCAATGAACGCGGTCGCTCAACAAAATCTTAGATGAAGTTCAAAAGTTCTTCATTTGTGTTTTGCACAAACTTTGAGTGGAGGTGCAAAAAGTCAAGAGTATCATGTGAACTCTTTTCAACTCTTCCGAAAAGTTCTAAGTGCTATTAAAAGATTCATATATTTATTTTATCAATGGTTCGGTTTACAATGTTGCAACGTTGCAATGTTAACACAGGCACCAGCTTAAGTGAATGGCGGTACTTGAGCCAAGTGTTTTTGTTAAATTGAAATAATAGTGGTCAGTCAGTCACCGTCAGCATTGGAAATTGCATGAAACGTCACTGGACATACAAACATGGCTTGCCTCAGGGCAGGCCAATCGCCACTGCTGAACAAAATATTCAAACCCGCGCTCTGTGTAATGTACCAAGTTTTTTTACACACCCACTTTACTATAAACGGAATTTGAACTCTAAAAAATTAGAATTGATAGCCACATTACCCTAATTCATCCTGGAATAAAACCAGCAAAAGGTATGCACCAAGAGATCCAAGTAGACTTCCTGTCGACGCTTAGTTATAGGATTACTCTGTCAAGTAGTCAACATGCCCATTCTGAAAGTAGTTCGCTCTACCTGTTGAAACTGGATAGTTTCAAAGGCGTCACTACAATTGTTCAGATAAGTAAAAGGAACTTTGATCTAATTGAACATGTGGAGATTGTCATGAACAGAGACGTACAGTGAAGGTGCTCTTTTTTGATGAGCCATGTGTCTACCAATTCTAACCTAAGTATATCGGCCGAAGCCAAGTAAGGGAGACATGCCAGAGTATTTTCTTCAGCCTGTTGATATGGAATACCATATATAGAAATCGCACATTATTCGTACAGTGCGAGAGCACCTTTCAGAGTTCCATTTTTGATTCTTATTTCAGATTGTTTGACTGAAAAATCCAACATGCATTATCCTTAGTATCGATTACAAGTGCGAATGTAAAAATTGAAGTAAGAAGCACCTTTCCAGTTAACAGATTCGGAGATAGGGTTGGTTCAGTACTGACAAACGTCACGAAGGCTATGCTTGGCTAAGGAACTTTTGATGACACTAATTAGCCGACAGAGTCACATGGTAAAGAGCATAGGACGTCGTGAACCTTATATAAGAAAGAGAGATACACAAGACTCTCAAATTATTACTCCTAGTCTTTCTTTCGAGGATTACCATCCACTCCTTCGTAGGGTGTCTACTGCCTTTTGCGTGGGATAAATATTGGAGTTCCTTGGTTGTCTCGACGGTTCAATGGAGCTAACCCAGCTGGTTCACCCAGTTTGTTGTTCTTTAGCTACCTGAAAGCCTTTGTCGTTAGCCCGTCGATCTTGGTGACTTTCGTTGACAAGATGTCACCGCACTACCTCTAGGTCCATTTTCAAGTGTTCAGCCAGGTTCCTTCTTTGAAAAGATTGACTTTCCACCGAAATTTCCATATCTTTGGTAAATTGGTAAACTTTACACAAAATGAAACCTACAGCTATGCAGCGTTTCATTCTAGCTTTAGTCCTATAAGTAAAGTTAATCCATGAGGAGAAGTGGAGAAACAGTACACGGTCGTTTCATCCTTATAAGAGTGCATGAGCACTGTACATCACACGACTTTCCAAGGTGATTGGAAACGTAAATTCATGCAATCCAACTGCCAAGCTCGGCGAACAGAGCAACAACCAAACAGCGCACCCGAGCTACCTACATTTCACAACATTGGTAACGTAAATTCATGGCTGGTAATTACATACCGACCTATTCTGCCATGACCGGCCGATCAGAGACATATCAAATTATGTAGAATATAGCGAACAAAATAGGACACGAAGCCGACGAACATCAGCGTCCGGCCAAAGAAGGAGTACAGTTATTCGACGCTCTAAATCAGACTGTAACCACAGTCGCATAGACAAGCCATGAAAACAGCAGTCTTCGGTGTGACAAAGGCATGAGAACACAGCTAATTTGGTTCAAGTGGGGATATGATAGCGTGAAAACCGCATTAGTCGAATTATGTAAATTTCTAAGACGGAATGAACTCAAAAGGACGAGTTTATGTAATTAGCATGAGGTTGGAGGGGGGCACAATAGACTGAGTTGAAAGGATCAATACAACGATGTGATGGGAAAATGACTTGCCTGGAGAATCTATATCTTATTCATAAAAGAAATGCATGCACGCAAGTCAAACGCCGAACTGTGTGCACCTCTAAAAAACCTGGACACTAAGTCCGATTGGCAGTTATCACCGACCCTCATGTCCACTCAGGAAGCAACGGCGAACCGTCACATTTCCTTACGATACCCGAGGAAAGGAAAAATTTCTTCAGGGTTTCACACTGAAAAAAAATTTAAAAGCAAGACTTTTCAGCAATGTAATCGCAAAAAATGAGTAATGCCATCATCATAGAGAAAACCTGAGTATGAATGTATGCCTCATCTGTCTGAAGTGCAGCAACCGCTGGGTAACAATCCGAAAAGCCGGCATACTTTCTACGCTACTTATCAAACCAAAAGGACCCATCTTCAAGTTCGTTTGCAGGTTTTCAAAACTGGGCTTCTGCCCGGATTCCAAATATTGCTTCGTACCTCAGGTGATGCTAAAAGCAAGGAGAACTGATACTTCGGAAAGGCGTTCCGGTGGCAGAATATTGGGTCTCGTTTTCATATGGGACGACAAGACCAGCAGTGTCAAAGGTAGTATCTAATCGATATTCCTAGATATGTATTAGTTTTTGGCCTCCTATTGAGTTCAGTTCTGAAAAAATCTCCCTTTCTTAAATTTTTTTCTCCTCCTATTCAACTCAGAACATTCAAATCTCATAAAATGATTCTCAGTGATGTTCTGTTTACTCATTTTGGGAGCAATATCGATTCGGTACGTGCATAACTCACATAAGACTTTGTGGAAAATCCATGAGGCTACTTCATTGAGCCAAACGATTACTGCAACTAGTGTGAATAAGACAAAGTGAGAGACGCCATAGTCAAAATGTACACTCTGAAGGAACCTCCAGCTTATTTGGAGCTGCATGCAAATGATGAATGGTCTAGGTGAGTATTCTTACAGAAAATGCCAGTCCGGAAGACAGTGAACAGGTGCCCTCCCTTGATGGAGAGCATCAGCACTGTTCGTGCGTGGGTTCACACTGTGGACACAACGGAACTTTTATGATTTACGAATAAAGTCACTTTGTTTAACACCACGTGTTTCCACTATTTGTGACAACTTTTATGAATTTTTTTTCCGGAATTCCTTTTTACCTCCTATCGGTTATTTGCATTGATTGTGCCTTCCACCTGGGAAATAAACACTGACTGGCTAATTATTTGGATGAATGAATACCTTCCTTTTATTGATTGACTTCTATTGTGGCCTGCATTATTGAAAAGGCTTAATTATCTTTCTGTGTTTGAACGTCTAGTAACCAGAATTGCTCAGTACATTGGTGAGTTTGCATATTCATAAAATAGACTTTAAAATTGTTTTTCTGTTGATATTTGTAGTGGCCATCACTTCGTATGATCATAAAAGAAGGGTTGATATTGGCATTTAGATTGTCCTCTATTTTCTGGAACAAACCGTGTTTAATGAACAAGAAAGCCCTTGTTTGCGATTTAGAATGCTAAGTGCAGCCAGGAATTTTCCAACAACGGTTATAGTCTGTACGCAAATGTGCCTTTAGTGAAATACATTTATTTCCAAACAAATTTGATTTTGCGAGAGACTCATCTGGAACCCAGCTGAATCTCTCGTTTTTGATGCTACCAGACAATCGAATGTGCTGCGCCAGGCCGCTTCATGTTCCAACCGCCACGATATTTGAGATATCGCGATACATGCATATTCGTACTGGAAATTCTTTGACAGCCAACGACCGGTTTCACCCTTCCTGAGGTCATCAGATGCGCGCAGTCCCCGAGTTCCCATCAACCTTGTGTCTACTTGAAACCGAATTGCATGAAATTAGCGAGATGCACTCATTTACAAACAAATTTGGTACAATTTGGTTTCAAGTAAAATATACGGTTGACCGGAAACTCGTGACTGTGCCTACCTGAGGCGTCTCAAGAAGGGCGAAACCGGTTTTGGGCTGTCGGAGAATTTTCAGCAACCTTATAAGTAGTGCATTACAGATGCACCTTCTTATCCACCAGTGTCACGTGCACTAATGTGGGGAAACGTTAATCCTTCTTTCAACCAGTCTTTCGTGCAACCATTGCTCCTCTACATTCATATCTACATCTAGCACACTTAGCAACACTGTGATTTAGAAGTGAACTTTTAAGCTTGGTATGCGTACCATTGTTTTTATCGCATTTTCTCGAAAGGAAGCCTTCACATTCTCGGCGAGTTTTGTTGTTCTAATTCCATATTTTGCTTCAGTTCATCTACTCCTGTTTCGTACTTATGGTCTAGTGTAATTGAAAATCGAAATGACCATGTCGTCAGTCAAAATAAAAGCAGTTTCACGACTACCCACTTGCGCCCATACTACCGAACATAAAGCCAAGGTCTGGCCGTTGTACTGTTTGTTTCAAGCTATCATGTAATTCTTTGGCACAAATACACAACCTCTGTGTTTATTTTG